CAAAGGGAGATGATATTAATGGCTATAAGTCACCATACGGCCTTCAGCCATGAGCAAAACTTCATACCGTATTATATGCTTAAAAGGCCCTGACATGACAATGTGTGAATTAATTCAAAAAGAAAAATTAACAGCCTGATTTATGCTGAAAACAATAAACGAGAAACAAACATGGCAGACTAACGTCATTCATTTTTTACTTTAAACGATTTGAAATATATCTTGAAAAACAACGGAAGGATTAATTATGTCAGCCCTAGTCAGTATACGAAGCTATAGCTAGTAGATTAAATTAGCGTTATGTACAAAAACTTGTGCCTCTATATTTTCAGATAATGAATTAATTATTCGAGCTCACCTTTTAAAACACAATTCCGAAAAAAAATCATTATAATTTTTTTTGCATCATTTCCGGCATTAATATTGAAAACAACAACCCTTAATCTTTGAGATTTAGATGTGATCCTTGTGACAATGTTTTGACATAAGACATAAATATTGTCTTAGATCAAGGGGTCATGAAAAGAAGGGAGCAAAATATTGTCCACCTTTGAAAAAAATCGGGAAAAATACTATCGTCTTTTTTGTAGATGATCGTTTCATATAACCAGCTGGTCCAGAATTGAAAACGTGTTTGATTATTTTTACGGAATATTCGGTTTCGAATCGAATTGACATCAAAAGAACTTTCTATGGGAGACTTGTTATACCATTGTATACTGTACCTGCCTTTTATTATGTATTGTATTTCATTATAATTGTTATTGGGTTGTTATGTGAAGAGTTGATGGACTTTTTAACACTCTCCCCTCTAAAAAAAAAATAGACGTGTCACCACATTCACATTTTATTTGCATGCAATTAATACGGAATATAGTCAACTCTGTTTTTTAATTCGCCTTTGGAAAAAGAAAATACTGAAGGGTGAAGGTTTGGTATCATTAAAACGTTTAAACCCGCTGCAATTGTTTGCACCTGTCCTAAGTCAGGAATCTGATGTTCAGTAGTTGTCGTTTGTTAATGTGGTTCATAAGTGTTTCTCGTTTTTTATATAGATTAGACCGTTAGTTTTCCAGTTTGAATGGTTTTACACTAGTAATTTTTGGGGCCTTTTATAGCTTGCTGTTCGGTGTGAGCGCAGGCTCCGTGTTGAAGACCGTACTTTGACGTATATTGGTTTACTTTTATAAATTTTGACTTGGATGGAGAGTTGTCTCATTGGCACTCATACCACATCTTCTTATATCTATTTATAAGAGTGGCGACATTTGGATTGAGGTTAAAAATACATAGGTTATACCACAGCGGAAAAATATTGATTGATTGCTAGATAAGATTGTTGATTCCTTATCGTTCAGTGGCAAATATTCCATGTATGTTCAGGACGAGAACAAATTAACAATACATACAATAGGTATAGGTCCTGTAATAGGGATCGACCCGGATAAAGAAAACAAGTGAATAACCTGACAAGACAGGTTTTCATTGAATATAGATGACCTTCATAGCAGGTTTAACTGTATATAAAAGCCAAAAACCTGATGGTGTATTGTCTGTCTTGACTGAATCGTGTTATATAATCAAAGAAAAGCAACTCTACTTCAATATTATTCTTCTTCCAAATTTAAACAAAACGTTCGAATGGAAAGACAAATAAGGTACAACTCAATGGGAATAGTCAGCAACCTAACTAAACAAGTTAACAAACACAACTGATTTTTTATAGTTTATAAAATTGAGAATGGAATAAAATTGAGAATGGAAATGGGGAATGTGTAAAAGAGACAACAACCCAACCAAAGAGCAGAAAACAGCCGAAGGCCACCAATGGGTCTTCAACACAGCGAGAAACTCCCGCACCCGGAAGCGGGCTTCAGCTGGCCCCTAAACAAAAGTGTGTACTAGCTCAGTGAAAATGGACGTCACACTAAACTCCAAAACATATAAATGAACTAAAATTAAAAAAAAAACATACAAGACTAACAAGACTAACAAAGGCCAGGGGATCCTGACTTGGGACTGGCGCAAAAATGCGGCGGAGTTAAACATATTTTGTGAGAACTCAACCATCCCTTATACCTCTAGCCAATGTAGAATAAACAAACACACAGCAATAAGCACAGTAAAACTCAGTTTAAAAGAAGTCGGAGTCCGATGTCAGAATAGGTAACAAAAGAAATTAAGAAAAATGACAGTGATACATAAATTAACAAAGAGCTACGAGCAGTTATTGACATGCCAGCTCCAGACCTCAATTTAAACTGATTGAAAGATTATATCTTCATCATATTAAAATCAAGCACAATCCCTCCCGTTAGGGGTTTAGTATCCTACCATCATAAAATATATGAGAAGAACATAACCCGTATCATTCCAACAACTGGTTTTAGAATAAATGTGTTTATATCCGATGCAAAGACCCTATGAGTGAATCAATATTGATACCAAAATATGCCATCTTTCATGACTTGACAACAGTATCGTAACTATATCCCTTCTGAATAAGTTTGTTTAAGGTTTTGTGAGCTTTTGAGGTGAATGCCGACATTTTTTTGCTTTGTATAGAATATTACCATAAAAGATTGGATGTGAAATACTTGAACGTATAAGATGTCTGCATGATGATTTATATTTACGAATGAATTCCTTGTACCGATGATAAAATTAAGTAAAGGTTTTGACTAGTTTATGATATCGAAAACCCTGGTGTAATAATTTTTCAGTAATACAGAGATTTCTTTCGTTAAATCAAATACGTTGTTACATACACGAGCGAATCGAACAAGTTGAGATATATGAACACCATAAGATGGTGACAAGGGAATGTCACCATCTAAAAAATAGATAATTAACAATAGGAAATGAAAAATCATCTCTTTCATCATAAATTTAGGTACTTAATATCAGGCTTCCCGTTAAAGATATAGATATCAAGATCCAGGAAAGGACAGTGTTCATTGTTAGTATTAGCTTTATTTAAAGTCAGTTCAGCAGGATAAATCTCTTTAGTGTACATACTGAAGTCGTCATTATTGAGAGCCAATATATCATCCAAATATCTAAAAGTGTTATAAATTTTTGTATCAAATGTTATTTCGATGGGTCTTTGCTGATTTAGTCATAAATTGTAACTCATAACAATACAGAAACAGGTCCGTAATTAGTGGTGAACAGTTAGTCCCCATTGGAATTCCGATGACTTGACGATCTACGGAATCTAAATAGCGAACAAAAGCAGGTCCAATTGACATAGTTCTTTTGTCTGTTATTACTAAGAAATGACAGAAAAGAGTTTGAACATATATATTCGCATTCTGACTTTTTAAATGCCCATTTAATTAGGTGTGTGATTTTTTTCTTAATAAGATTATGAGGCAACGTGTTATACTGGGTAGAAAAATCAAAACTTTGAACAGATTCGAAATCACCAATATAAGCATGCAATTTATCGAGTACTTTCAACGAATATTTGACACTCCAGAAGTAATTAATTCCACTGTTTTCAAAGGCCTTATTTGAAAAATTTATTACCAGGTTTGTGATTATACTAAATGTACTAGTAAGTAGAATAGACAGTTTAGTAGTGGAACAATGGCTTGAAGACGAAATAAATATATAATTGTAAGGTGTTTTGTGCAGCTTTGGAAGCCAGTACATAGTTGGAACTTTCATTGTATTTGGTCTTATGTTGTACAGTTACATCACTTTCCCAGGTGAGGGGGAAGGTTGACGCCTTCAAACTAGTTTTACCCCGCAACATTCTGTATGTGCCTGTCCCAAGTCAGGAGTCTAGAATTCAGTGGTTGTCGTTTGTTGCTGTGTAACATATTTGTTTTTCGTTCATTATTTTGTACAAAAATGAGGCCGTTAGTTTTTCAGTTTAAACTGTTTTAAAATTATATATATTAATATGATTGTATTAGTTGACTATGCGGTATGGGCTTTGCTGATTGTTGAAGGCCGTACGGTGACCTGTAGTTGTTAATTTCTGTGTCATTTAGTTTCTTGTGGAGAGATGTCTCATTGGCAATCATACCACATCTTCTTATTTTTATATAAACATCTTAATCTCCATACTAGCCGTGAATAAATTCTGAGAGAATGCTGGCATTAAATAAATATCTAAATTTGAATCGAAATTAAAACAAAACAAAAACATTGTGCAGTCAGATTTAAAACAATTTGTACTTTAAATTCCCACTTAATGATGTTAAGGGAACTGCATTTTTAAATAAATTATTTATAAATGAAACAATTGAAAATAAATCATAAATGTTCATTCAGACGAAATGCGCATTGTTTGTCCCTTCTAAACATGATTATTTTCTATTTTGGATGGTAAAAATAAAATCAATTATTGTTGTGCTTAAAATTTTCTAAAATATCTTGATGTATTATACATTTGATATATTTTTTACCAAATTGAATGCTAATCATGCTAATGGAAAATAACGCTGATGAATATTTCATTTAGTTTTTAAAATTTAGTATTTTTTCAATAATCGTCGTTTCCAATACGGGATGTGCTAACCATTACAGAAGAGCTTATATGACTTTGTCCTGCGTGTTTCTCTTGTTTGTAAAGCTCGTACATTTATATGTTAGAGTAAGGGACGGTTTTCCTAAGTTCATATTATGTAGACTAATGATGAAGACCGTACTTTGACCTATAATTGTTTACTTTTTACACATTGTGACTAGGATGGAGAGTTGTCTCATTGGCACTAATACCACATCTTCTTATTTCTTACCTTGCCATTTGCATGTATTTGGCTTTTGTTTGTAGTCTATAAATACTCTGCTCTAACGACATACATATTAAACTATTAACATGATTAAAGGATTACTGTTAAGTCTTTGTTTTTATTATGGATATTTCATAAACCTGAAGTTCAAACATTAATATTAACAGGTATTTAAACACCTAACGAATTGATCATTATAACGGTTATTGGTATTTAAATATTTAAAATTTACAATCGATAGATTCAATACACAGTGTGTTGACTTTACGGGTGAAAAATTGGAGTATTTTAAACAAAACATTTTAATTCATTTTAAAGTATGCACTACGAAATCTCGTTGCTATAGAAAACAAAATTAATGCGATTAACGTATGGATATGTATATATATATAAACAGTTATGAGGTAAGTTGTGTCTTTTATGGTTTTAACGACAAATATCTAAACAATCACTGATCGACAATGGCCATGTTGTTTTTTAACGTGTAAAAAGGGGGGTGCCAATTACTTATACGAAAAAACAGAATGGTATTTGAACATTTTCGAACATCAAATTAAACATTGATTACCGCAAATAATCAAATAGGATAATTTTATCTCATGTTTAGGCTTTATACGCAAACGATTTCGGATCATAAATCGTGGAGTTTATGTCCTCAAAAATTCAGTCATAAAAAAGGTGATTGTTACAAACAATGATTCATTTGAATGGTTGGTATAAAACTTGTGATCTTAACTTATTAGTCGAATATAAAAAAAATCAATAGTTCATGTACAATAACAAAATCATTGACTTCTATTTTGGTTGCCAGAATAACTACATTTTTGACCGACGAATTCCCAATTGGCGGTGGCAACTGTTCAACTCCAGTATGTTATTTCTTAAATATATCGAAATGCCATTCCTATGTTGAATTTTTATTTATTTTTAGGGTGAATTGTAATATCGAAAGCGCATAAAGACAAGATATGGCTGTAACTGGTACGTACTTCAAACACATGCACACAGAAAGTTGTTTACATCCGTGTCTCTTGATTTTCAGTGAGATCTTTCTGTTTGGCAATCACACTGCATCTCTTATGTTGAATTTTTCTTAATTTTTAGGGTGAATCGTGATATCGAAAGCGAATAAAGACAAGATATGGCTGTTACTGGAACGTAATTGTTGTTTACATCCGTGTCTCTTGGTCTTCAGTGAGATCTTTCTGTTTGGCAATCACCCCACATCTCTGTATTTTTAAAATCGTATACATAAATATAAGAAGATGCGGTATGAGTGCCAATGAGACAACTCTCCATCCAAGTCACAATTTGTAAAAGTAAACTTACATACATGTAAGTACATACACTTATACGACACGTGTGTAGTTCGTAAGGTTTTCGCCAGCAGTTTATGTTTTACAACACAAATGTATAGTCGTGTTCCTTTTGTATCCCATCCCATATTATAAACATAATTTTTTGTTAAAGCATTTTAAAATAAATAAGATTAAAACATGTATAAAATTTAGTTACAAAAACAAGTTTGTCAATTGGAATGGAGTGCCCTAAATAGACATGCTCGAAAGGTATGTCGGTATCATTATACTGACACGAAGTATGTTATTACTGGATTTTGAAATTCAAGCAAAACAAATTTTGTATTTTTTTTTTCTAATATTTTAACGATTCCATTTACAAAATATCACAAAGACATTCCCTCTAGTTTTAGAAGGAGATTTGCAAATATTCAAATGCAGAAGCAACCAACCGACACAAAATAAAAAAAAAGACAGAACGACACACTACTCTAATCGAAAAAAAAAAGCAAAGGATATGGGGTATCGATCCATGACACAAAATCAGTATATGCACAGCAAAAAACACACTAAAAACTAAGGAATTATAGCGCTTTTATTGCTGTTCTTCATATCAAAGTCACAGTGAGGCCTTCAACACGGAGCAAAAAAAAACCTCATCTCGCTGCAAGTTTAAAATGTCCCCAAGCACCTGCTTGAGCGGAATTCTTTACAAAAAGAATTTATATAGACTTTGTAAGATGTAACATCATGCATGCACATCAATATGTCAAGTTCCCAATCGTCTAGAATCTTGACAACATAGTCATAACTTCAATGGTGCCCATGAATGGTCTGGTATGTCACTAACTATTTAATTTTCAAACATTTGGCAGGGTTCATTTAGGCTCCCGTTTTTATACACTCAGTAGAATAAAACAAAACACAGCCGAATCTGCAATAAAACGCCGTACAGAAAGAGATCTTAACTTTAAAGTGTCTGTATGATACAACAGGAACACATATATTATATAAAGCAATAATACATGATACCGTATAAAGAAATTGTTCACATTTTTTTAAGCAAACTCAAAGTATTGAACCATTCGAGATGAAATTACACCGTTCAACATGCTGATATATGCGGCTGTAAGGAAGAGTAGATTTCATATAGGAAAAAGTGGGTGGGGTTTACAGAATAGAGAATAGTGGAGGATAAAATATAGAGAAAAATGGTCCAAAACAATAAAGAATAGAGAAAAATGGGGTGCTAAAATATATAAACAATAACTGCAAAAAATAAAAAATTAGGTAAAAATATACTGATTACAGAAAAGAACAATGTCCAGTATACAGTTATCAAGTAATTACAGAATAGCCATTATTTTTAAAGAAAAATAATAATGAGCGAAAAAAATAAAGAATATAGAAATGAAGGACTCCCCATCCATACCCCAATATAGCAAATGTAGCAAACAGTCTATGAAACTTTAATGTATAAAACCATATTTTAGTCTTTTTTCAAACTTTGAATAAGCGAATTGTCCCAAAAATATCAGACACAACTTTTTTTTAATCAAGAAGCGTTTTATTCTAGTAAATATCGTAAGGAATTTCTGTATTACATATGAACACGTAAGTTCTGAATCAATTTTTCTGTTGTAAAACCGAGTTCTAAACCAACTCTCGCTGTCAGTTTCAGGGTGTAAGTAAGTCTAGATGTGAAGCACAGTCAAGTAATTGTAACAATATTGGGTATTTTCAGTACAGGGTACCATACAGAATATTGAATGACGTTTTCCCATATATATATACATGTATATCGACTAGATGACTAAAAAATACTGTTTATTCAGAAATAATTGTTAGATTTTTATTTATGTGAATAATGCGACTGAGTAAATATCGCAATAATAAGATCGCATTCTGATATCTGAAACATATACAATGTATTTGCATGAAGCTTTTCCTGGAATCGCAACAATTAGTCTCGCATTTTTGTTCAGTCTTCAAAAATCGCAGTAATAAATGCACGCAATAATTTCTGAATTAACAGTAAATAAAATGAAATGATAGAAGTATTAACCAAAACTTAATAAAATCGGTTTCTTTTCCAGAAAAGGAAAGACAGAAATCACTAGCGGATCTTGGTTGCTATGGTTTTTTGTTTGCGATTTGCTTCATTGCATTTACTATTTGCGGGATAATTCTGGCCATCTTCTTGTCTAAAGATCCAGATTGGGATATAAGTGCCTGGTACCAAATTTTTTATGGCACTTTTACACTAGCTCTGTGTGTAAGTACTATTTATTTCTGTTATTCGGTCTTTAAAGTCCTGATATCATACAGGTACGAGGATCTCAAGGGGTTCACATATTCATAAAATAGATAATAGAGAAAAATAGGCGAAAGAATACAGAATAGAGATTAATGGGCTGTTTAAATATAAAGAATAGATGAAATTGGCTTAGAAATCATAGAAGTTCACATATACAAAAAAATAGATAATAAAGAAAAATAGGCGAACAAATAAAGAATATGGATTACTGAGCTGTTTAAATATAAAGAATAGATGAAATTGGCCTCAAAATCAAAGAATACAGAATTGGATGATCTCCAATCATGACCCTCGTGTACATTTTTCTGTTAAAAGGACATGTTTCACTTTGATCTGGTGTAATAATTTGTTGTATATATTGTTATTGTGTAGTACAAACCATCGTATCCTCTTTGTTGACAATGACATATCTTCATTTGAAATAACAATCAGAACCTGGTTGAAGGTTTTTTGTGTCCGTTTAATTAGGTATCGATGACTTTTATTAACATTGCATGTGTGTGAGGTGGGAGGAGGGGTGGTATTTTTTTTAATAATCTTTCGATTCTGAATTTCAGAAGGTAATTGACAAATAGTGTGTTTCCACTGAAAAATAGAAAACAAAATGAGTGAAACATTGGTTTCAAAAATAATTTTTTGCACATGCATGTGTGTTTATTAACAAATAGTTTGTTTTTAATGAAGTCGCCCAATTGTTTGTCTCGATAAAAAGAAAGCATTATTTGTCTTTTGATTTATGATAAATACTCTAGAAATACTGTATCCAACCATCAACTGTAGCTAAGTTAGTTAACTGCATGTAAAAGAAATTTCATTTTATTTTTGCTCTGCTTTCTAAATTATGTGCAATTTTTATTTACTTTTTCCTGATGGTATAATTAAGAAGATTACCAATGAAACAAAGCCCATACCGCATGGTCATCCTGTTAGTAGCAGTTTTGTGTATGCATTTTATTGTGTGCATTTTTATTACGACATTAATATAATTATAACACTTTTAATATACATGATCAAGTCCACAGTTATTATTTCGATTAATGACATGAATTAATGCTCAATTAGTGAAATTTGAAAATGTTATTAACAAACATACATGTACCCTTAAAACGTGAATGTACATTTTGATTACAAATTTGTATATTTAAAAACAAGAGCAGATAAAATAGAATAAATCTCGTTCATGGAAATCCGTATTTCTTTATTAGTTAGCTTTGAGTAACTATGAGTACTCTTAGATCGGTACATTTTTGGTTTTTTTTCTGTGTTTGCTTCTTTCTTTTTTCTTCTATTGTATAGATTTTTATTGTGCTTCAAGTCAAGTTCGTTTCAATTGACCTTTACCGTGTTTTTTTTTTTTTTTTTTTTTGTATTTCTACACCGATGTCCCAGGTAAGGGGACAGTTTGGCTCTCATAAACATGTTTAACCCTGCCACATTCTATATGTGCCTGTCTCATATCAGGAGCCTTTTATTCTGTGGTTATAGTTGGTTGCCGTCTTCCAAATTGTTTTTTTTTTTTCTTTTTTATCATAAATTTGGTTTTCTTTTATGAATTGTTTCAAATCATTTCATTCAGGGCCTATGATATCTGACTATACGATAAACTCATCATAGATACCAGGATTAAAGGTTGGTTTAGTCTACAAAGACTCATCAGTGACGCTCGAATAAAAAAAAATCAAAAGACCAAAAAAAGTACGAAGTTGAAGAGCGTTGAAGTCCCTAAGTTTCAAATGATTTTAACAAATGCAGCTACGATAGTCTATTCCTGGGGTATATATATATATAAAATCCTCAGTATTTCGAAAAATTAAAATTTTCGTAATTAGCTAATTTCTTATTATGACTATATCAACGACAATTCATGTCAACTCAGAAGTGCTGACTACTATAATTGTGATACCCTCGGGGAGGAAACCTCCACCAGCAGTGGCATTGACCCTGTGGTTGTAAATAAACTCATAATAGATAACAGGATTAAAATTGTTTACGCCAGACGCGCGTTTCGTCTACAACGACTCATCATTGACGCTACGCATGGTACGATGTTTTTTTCAATTGAAGAAGGCCGTATTTCAATCCACTTCCTTTTGGTATCATACCGGCGTCACACATCAGCGTATAGCACCGACGTACGCCTGGCGTGGTCAAAAACCATGTACGCTGACAATACGCTAGTAATTTTGGACGCATTCAACTTGTCAATCATATCTTAGTTCGTGTGCACAACGAGCTTTAAGCGTGTTTAGGGCGTACGAGAAGCGTACATACGCGTTTATCGGGCGTTCAAGTAACGTATGTTGGCTTATGTCTGGCGTTTGTCTAACGCAGATGAAATGCACGCTAAGAAGGAAAAACGTCCCTCGAACGTATTTGAAACGCGTCACGGTCGTACATGGGACGATTATCCGTGCTTTCGGCGTGTCTGGGACATGTAATTATGGGGTGTTTCACTGAACTAGTACACATTTTTATTTAGGGACCAGCAGTGGTCCACCTCCTGGTGCGGGATTTTCTCGCTGCATTGAAGATCCATAGGTGGCCTTCGACTGTTATCTGCTCTTTGGTCGGGTTGTTACCTCTTTGACATATTCCCCATTTCCATTCTCAATTTTAGTGTTTGTACTACTTCTGGATAAATATGGTCTTGTAAATTAACGGACATATGCCCTATATAAATGTCAGAGCAAGTTGCGTTGAATGTCAGAATACGTTTTTGATACGCCACGGGTGCGTTTTATACTTTCACGGAGCGCGTAAACTACGCCAGGCGTATGTTACAAACACGCCCCGAATACGTCCAAGTAAAAGTCGAAGTAAAAGTAGAACGATCTTGAGGCGTATACAACGTGCCCTAAACGTGTCTCAAACTTATCTGTAGCGTTTTCCAACGCGCTTGTAACGTATATATTACGTGAGCGTAGCGAACAGGTATACGCTTGAAAAACGCTAGAGCTAGATGAAAATGTTTATGCTGCATAAAAATTTACTGGAGTTAAAGCGTTCACGAAGCGTATACCTTTGCATTTCGACGTACTTTAAACTTATGCAACGCTTGTCTATCGATTGCTGAGTGTTCCTCTTGCGTGCACTTAACGTATACGGACTTTGTCAATTTTCTCTGTACGTCTGGTGCACGTCGGTCTATACGCCAATATGTGACGCCGGCATCAGGTGGAATGTTGTCTCAATATATCTTTATTTCAATATTGTTTCTGAGTTATGGTTCTTACATTATTATTGCTAGATAGGACAACATTGCATCAATTTTTGATAACTTGAAATAAAAAGAACTTTATTTGGTCAAATGTAATCGTCGTGAGTACGATATTCAAATATCGTAATTAGAGGGGGGAAATGTTTAAATGATCTCAATCATCATTGTTTGTATTGTTACTTGTGTAGGTTCTGACAATATTATGGCTTATTTCAAAACAAATTACCAAAGTTTGAGCCCTTATAGATATGCGCTATAGATAACTAAATTCCATGACAATTTTAGCAATATTTGAGAACTTAAAAAAGTAGAACTAGGAAACTTCTTTTTCAAACTTAATTTCAACATAACAATATTTTAACTGACATTTTTGGTTATAAGACGAAATTTGTGCTTTGAATTTGTTTAAGGATTCCATAAACTTACATTTTCTGTGGATAATATACTGTTGTGGTATGTTTCAAAAACTATAAGTACAATTCAGGATAGCAGATGGAATCATCCAAGGCTCCGTGTTAAAGACCGTACTTTGACCTATAACGGTTTACTTTTATAAATTTTGACTTGGATGGAGAGTTGTCTCATTGGCACTCATACCACATCTTCTTATATCTATATACTAGGTCAAATTACCGAGTCATTGTTTCCCATATAGACGTAGAGTATGTCTGGCACGTCCGGCCTGTATTTTTGTTAGATGTATTTTTGCTTCGTATCGATCTGATGAGTTAAGCCCTTTACAACTGATTTTTATAGTTTGTTCTTATGTTGTATGGTTACATCAATGTCCCAAGTTAGGAGAGGGTTGGCGCCTTCGAATTAGTTTAACCCCGCAACATTCTGTATGTGCCTGTCTAAAGTCAAGAGCCTATAATTCAGTGGTTGTCGTTTGTTGCTGTATATCATATTTGTTTTTCTTTCACTATTTTTTACATAAATCAGGCCGTTAGTTTTCTCGTTTGAATTGTTTTACATTTGTCATTTCGGGGCCTTTCATAGCTGACTATGTATTATGGTTTTGTTTTGCTCATTGTCGAAGGCCGTACGGTGACCTATAGTTGTTAATTTCTATGCCATTTTGTCTCTGGTGGGGAGTTATTTCATTGGCAATCATACCACATCTTCTGATCTTCATATTCAATCCGCTCTTTGTTACTTTGATAAAACGTAAACATGGTAAAACCTAATTCCTTGTAAACCTTGGAAAGTACTTGATCAACCAAAATATGTACAAAACACGAACCTAGTTGGGTTTTTGAATCTATCTTATCAATTTGTAAACCAGACAAACGTTGAAACTTCATATTTGTTCAAAAGTTATATGAGAGAGATATCTTATTGGCTACTAAACCACATCTTATTTTTATAAATAATCATTTACTTATCGTCATAATGCTTTTGCACACAACCTCTCAAAAGTCATTTTATTGTAGAAAAGGTTTTACAAGTAACGATCTAGATTGCATTCCTGATAACAATGACTTTTACTGTTGAGACATTTATATTGTAGATTATAGATAATTCAAATTTCTGAATGCATTCAATCTGTGTTATCTTATTTTCAGTCATTAGCGCTTGCAGTTATAACGTTTTGTTGTATCAATAAACACGAGAAAAAAGGTCGACGTGATGAAGTTAGTAAATGGGTAAGTATGAATGTTAGTTTTCTCGTTTGAATTGTTTTACATATGTCATTTCGGGTTTTTTTATAGCTGACTATGCGGTCTGGGCTTTGCCTATTGTGGAGAGTTGTCTCATTGGCCACATCTTCCTATTTTTTATATACATGTAAGAGCGAACATGTTATTTTGGCATCGCAAAACAGCTATTCTAGAAATAATATCAGTCGAGCGCGAGAGAATGTAGAATTTTCGGATCCGCTAGGCAAAGGAAATTTCTTCTCAAGCAAAATTTGTTCACATAAAATTCTTCTGAACACGATTAATGTTGTATTACAAAAAAATGTTAATATACACGCTTAACTTATACATCCGAAATCTATCGCCTATTTCATAGCGTACACGACATCATGACGTTAGTAAAACCGAGCGTATTTGATAAAGCGCACAAGTGATTAATCGTATTTATGAAGAGTTAAAAACGGGGAAAAATTTATGTAAAATATCTAGCAAGAGATGGTCAAAAAAGAAAAATCCTTGTTCAAATACATTTTGTTCCCTGGCGTTGGTGGAATATGAACAAAGTTCGTCTGTTCGTTCCATCAGATACACGAAACATACACAAGCGGCAAAATCTGGTATATGAGCAAGGTGTTGAGAGTCTGGATGTGAGTTTATATCATAGAGAATAATGGTCGAAAAATATAAAGGATAGAGAAAATAGAAGAAATTTCAAATAAAAGATAGAGATGCTAAATTATAAATGATAAAGAATCATTGGCAAAAACTATAAAGAATAGCGAAAATTTATAAAATGCAGATATGACCCTCAAAGCAGACCACTTTTGATAACTTGTAGAAAATTGTTGGTTTTACATTATTGAACAGTACCAATTTAAGTGCACCAGACAGTGCATTTAATTGTGTTTTTCAATTTAAGGCTATAACATGATCGACATGTAACACAGAGTTACGTTCAAACCGGATATATGTGTCGTCTTAATATGCAGTGAGGTATGATCGTCTGCTGTTTGTCGAAGGCTTCATCGAATGAGGTTAAAAAAAACAACAGCAAAATAAAGCGTCGTTCCTTTGCATTTAGTTTTAAAATGCTAGTACTAATTTGTATCATAATTAATTCAAAACACTATTACCCTTTCTTTTACATTATTTCAATTGAACTATTTAAGAAAATGTAAATTGCAGAGCTCTGAAAGTAACTTTCGCTCTATATTGATAGCTTAATAGTCATTCGAATAGATTGAAGAAACCGTCTATATGACACTTAAAGTCCCGTTCAGGTAACACTAGACAAGAGTGTAAAACATTTCTTGTGATGCACACTGTACAGAGGAGAAACTCCATTACGAGTAATGAATAGATATTTATGACGAATGTGAAATTTAAAATTAAAAGCAATACATGTATATACAATATAATTACATATAGAATTCAGTACATAAATCATTTCAATAAGAATGTTTTATTTTAAATTATGTCGAGAGAAATACATTGAATGTCATAAAAAGTTACAAATCTTTGTGTCTTCAAGTTTGTAGATTTTCGGTGACAAAATACATGTGTCAATTCATTACATTTCCCGAACATGTAATCCAACGTTTTACAAATGTACTTGTTTCTCTCATTTACTCTGTTCTTCTTTCGTGGTTTCCTCCTATCTAGGAGCACACGGATGAGACCGATAGTTCAATCGTACTTACTTTATGATTATTTTAATTTCAGGTGAATCATTTGGTGATTGTGTTGTGGATCTCGTTTGTAGCAATATTTCCGTCATGCGCGTTTCTCGGAGGATTTATTTCAGAATCGAACGTGTTCAGTTGTATTAGAAATGTGACAATTCCGGAGGGTGAAGTTCGACTCAGTCTTTGTTCAAGCATTTATAAATCTTCAACCATAGCTTGTACAGTTTTCTTCGTAGTATTTTTCTATTCGATTGCACAAAGTTGTGCCCACAGGAAGGAAAAACTCCTTCAAACGACAATAGAACGTTCCAATAAATCAAGACCTCCCAAAATAACACTTGATAAATCCAGAAATCAACTTGCACCAATACCAAGACCGCCAAAACTGACAAAACGATACAGTGCAGATGCTATACTTTTACGACGAAATCCTGATGAACGAACGACAAAACATAGAAACACTGGTAAAATGGCAAAATTAAAAGCACTGCCTACACAGCTGAAATTCATCAATCTTGCAAAGATAAGGAAGAATCAAATATCCGATCATCAGGAAACAATATCTACAATTCAAAGTTCTAAATCGTCTACCGTTGACGGTAGACCGGTTCGGACGAACACTTGGTCTTTTTTAAGGAAAAATTACAAACAAGCACGTGACCTTAATCAGCCGTATACCTTTGAAGACACCGACGATAATTATGACTTAGAGAATTTGTATAGCACGTATGGCGATGTACATAATACAGGGCCGCCATTGGCACTAATGTCAGCGGAACATGTACAATCACAAGCAAACGGAAACCTGTATAATAGTTCAAGGCAACCACCTTTATATCGATTCAAATCTGTAACCGAGATACCAGACGGAACTCCACCTTCTTACGAAGAGGCTTGCTACCCACGTTATTGATAAATGCATGGAATTTCAGAGTCGTCACCTTGCAGATTAACCAATTAAATAGACTTAAACAGTTATGCATACAAACATCAACTAATTCCATGGCAAAAACTAGACAGAAAGTCAATTCCTACAATTACTACCATGAACATGCGCAGTAAACATCACGGTGACTGGAGAATGTCAAATAGCTTAAACAAAATACCTATTAACAATAGTAAATATTCAATAATATTCGAGTCAGTATTATTATCAGCTTATGAATGTCATTTTTGTTGCATTTTACAACAACAAAAATATGTTTTCCAATATAAATACCTCATGAAGATGTGATATTTTTTTTTATAATTCTGAATTAAAGTTTTAATTGTTTTTTTTTATACATTTAAATTGATCTGGCACTTAAAATATACTATTCCCAGAATTGATAAAAGTCTTTAGTATGAAAGAGAGAGGGTCAAAGACTAGTTTTGTTTTACATTACCAGGAAACTAGCCATAACATGTAAATTCAAGACGTAATTTTATCTAATCTTGTTTTACTTGTTCCATTGGTGTTATATTTTAGCTGTTTTCAGTGTTCTGATGATTCAGTTATATTTTAGAAATGAATGCTTCTTTTTTGTAATTTTATTGGGGTGTAGAAGTGTATAACGAAGCACAATTTGTATGAAGCGCGGCCAACACATTTTTTGCTTCCTGTCTCGGCTTTATTCTTCCATTTTTATCATTATCTTTTCATAGTATTGGTTCTTGTAGAATATTGATTTCATCTGAGTGTGGCACAAATAGATTGACCATTTGGGGGCAGATCTAACCGATATAGGAGGGTCTGGATGAGGGTCCTTCATTTCTATATTCTTTAATTTTTTAGGTCGTTTGTCTCTATTCTTTATACTTTTTGCCCTTTATTCTCTATTCTGTAAACCCCATCCCCACCCCATGTAGGGTAGCGGGATCGGTTTTAATTCGCCTGATGATCATTTTGATTGATTGTTTGTAATTGTGTTAACGCCATTGTCACAGGCGCAAAGCAACCGTACGCAAAAACTCAGTTGCGTACACATCGACAATTTGACAAAAATAGAAATATGGTTAATATAGTAAGAATAAAACTAAATTAAAAGTAATAAACCAAGTTACTAAGTATTAAACAAACATGTTAATAATCACTTTGTAGCTATATTCCGTTCCTGAAACTACTCTGTTCATTTACGGAACCAGCATCGTGATTATGTTGCTGATGTAAGCAATTACAATGGCCGCGTCCTCAGGGTGTCAGAAAACAATTGTCACGTCTTCTATTCCTCCTTACCCTGGCATCTTTTCTGAAGATTTCAAAACAACTGACGAAATAAAATATGACGTTCTAAGGAGACCATGGACAACGATTCATTCTTATGATTTTCCTGTGAGGTTTGTATAGTCTAAATAACATACGTCGTCATAACAGTTTTTTTAAAACAGTCCAGCCAACATGCAACGTGTTCGCCGTTTGTTTTTATTTGACGATAAACGTATATTTACTTTTTTATCTTACGTTCGGCAGTGGAAGACGGGCTGTCTCGTTCAACATGTTCCCCTAATTTAATTATACGTGCTTCGAGATTAAAATTGTTTTTTCCATGCTTCGAGATTTGAAGTGCTTGTTTTCATGCTTGGTAAAATTAAAAGACTCGTTTTGAAAGTTGATAAAAAGAAATCGGAAATAATTTGATGATTTTCCTTGTAGATTTCGGGATTTCAAACGTATATAAATATATACTGGCCAGTAATAGGTTTCCAAACTATGATACGCATTTGTTATAGTACATTTTTTATCATGCAACGTTCATGGACGAAATTATTTCACGTTCATCATGAAATTGTTATTCCTTCTTTGTATTTAACCACCCCCTCCCCCTTAACCGCCCTTTTAAACATTAACTAACTAGCAACGAATATTATTTTATTATTTTTAAGTTAATTTAATAGTGTTAAAGTATACAGACTAAGGTCTACAATCAGACAAATGGAAGTGTCATTTGAAAAACTTCCTATGGGAAATACACTTTAAAGTAGTAGAAGAGTAAATTATAAGTAAATAATTAATAGAGATAAACATGACACTTTATATTTGAATCACCTCGCGACAAAATTTCGAGGGGCATATTGTTCTACCCCTGTTGGTCCACTTCACATTAGAAAAAAACAAATTTCTAAGCCAACAGTACTTGTTTGTTTTTCTCTAATTTCTTTTCAAAAGTTGACTTGTTACTCATGAAAATAAAATTTCCGTGAGGTCATTTTAAGTCCCAGGAAATTGCGAGGCCCAATTTTACCACTCTTGCTTATATCGTTGCGGCAATTTTTTTTTTTTTTTTGATTGATCGACCCAGAGTACAAGGAAAGAACCACCGTCCTTCAGCAGGAAACTAGATACGTCAATAACGATAGGAGTCGAACGCACCGGCAACGATTCTGGGTCATCGGTCACCCATGCACCTATCTTGATTAGAAAATTAACGTTAATCAAACGTCATATAAAATCATTGGTTATTTTCTTGGTAATAATATAACAGTTTTCGCCAGATCTCATTGTCCGTTGTAGTCTGTAATGTATTGGTATTATTCTTTATCTATATAAAAATAAGTAAATGAGATATGATTGCCAAAGAGACAATTCTCCACCAGAGACATATATATCTATGTTCTTTAATGAACTGACATTGATTGAACTAAAACTAGTGCTAGGGATCGTCTTGTAGTTAGGTGTGAACTTTATAATCTTCGGGTTTAAAGCATCATAATACCTACGATATCAAGAACATGGATATAGGCGTTCATCCTTTACCTAGTGTTCTGTCACGTCTATATAGTGGTTTTGTTCCATGAGAAAATATATCAAAAATCCCAACCTCCATAGTCTCCATGTATCCTGCTCGCATCGATAGGGAGAGATCTTTAGTTTGTTTCCGAGGTAGGTCAAACTTTAGAATTTAATTTTGTGATTTTGCTTCTTCCCCGTTCTATATTTTCTGTTGTAATTCTGAAGTATAAACTTCAAGGTAGATGCGTACTAATGCGACTATACAGTGCAGGAATATAATAATAATTCACAGCATTTGTCCGATTTTTTCCCTTTTAAATTTGCACAACTGAATTTAATTTCATATAGAGCGAAATGTATGTGAAACATGTACAAAGTGTTGACTAATTTGAATATCGTAGGTATATTTTCTGATTTTCTTTTTCTCAATTCATAAAATGTTGTGTCCGTAATTCTTTTTTTAATTTTTTTTCATTTGGCTTAAAACTTGCGAAACTGAATTCAATTTAATATACTAGTATATGGCAAAATTTAAATCAGAAGTACAAATCATTAAGTATTTTAAATATCGTTGGGAAATTTTGATAGATGAAAGTGTAATAAACTTGAGATCATAAATGCATAGATATAACTTGAAACAGACCCCTAACTATTTATTGTCCTCAGCCTAACGAGGATTGTTATACAGACCTTAATTTCTCGAATCGCAGCAGCTAGGGTTAATGAGATGGACAATAACATTACGTGCTATGATTGATCGTCAGAAACTAGAAAGCGATATACATAAACCATTCTGTAATGAGGAGCTTTCAAAGCTCTGGACCGCTATACGTGATAAGGAAAAGTTTTTCTTTGACTGTAATATGAGACCCAGTGTAAAAAGGACAAGGAGGACAGAATTTCAATTTGCACAAAGTGAATTTGGGCACAAACTTAGATGCTACGAAAGACAATATAAACAATCATATTGTGATGAAATAGAAAGCATGACCACTAACAATCCCACGAGTTTTGGGCGAAAATAAAACGTCTAGGACCAAGAAAAAAATAAAAAATTCCGATGGAAGTGTATGATACAAACGGCGATATTTTAACTGATGAGACTGATGTTCACGATAAATGGAAATCCGAATTCGAAAAAATGTACAATAGTGACACTGACGGAATTGAATTTGACAGTGCATTTTATGGATTATGCAACGTTTCATAAGGATATACTAAGAAAACAATATGTTGGACCCATTATATCAGAGCAAGAGAAACTGAGTTCTATTATAACACTTGAAGAAATAACAAAAGTTGTACACACAGCGGAAAACGGCAAATCAACCGGTATTTACCAAATTCCATATGAGGTTTTGAAATTTCCAAACGTTATTCAAGTTCTTCAATGTTTATGTCAATGGATTTTTGAAACTAGTATTATACCCTCGATTTGGAGAACAGCTATATTGTATCCTATATTGAAAGATCGTACATCAGACAAACGTGTTCCGTTTAATTATAGAGGACTATCTCTGCAGTCGTGCATTTCTAAGCTCTACATTGCATTTATTAACAATCGTTTGATGTCATCCTTAGAGGAGAATAGTATTTTGACGGATCAACAGAACGTGTTCCGAAAACATCGATCATGTGAGGATCATGTATTTACTTTAAACTCTGTTGTCCGGAACAACGACAGTGTGTTAGTCAAGGTTATCGACCTAAAGAAAGCGTTTGACTTCGTAGATAGAGATATGCTACTTTATAAACTGTTACTCAATAAAATTGATAGAAATATGTACAAATCTATAAAGAGCAAGTCTAAAACGGTACAACATCACAAAAAAAAAAAATAAAATCATGAACAATTGTTAAATATTTCGGATAACTAATATCCTTCATCAGTAAGATGTCAAATGGTTCTTATCTTGACATGTGGTAGTCACACTGTAATAATAATTTTGATCGTTATACACTTTTAGACTTGCTTATTATATATTATATTTTTTAGTGTACTGTATCATAATTATATGATCCATCGCCCCGTAAGATTTATCGTTGGCTATTATTCACACATTCAATTCTATAAAGACTATATATTCGTATACGTCTACCAGCATTCGAATCAACGATAAAACGACAGACTGGTTTACGTGCAATTCAGGAGTGAAACAAGATGATATCTGTTCCCCTACATTATTCTCGATATTCATTAACGATTTGGTCCAGGAGGTAAATAGTTTGGACATTGTGATCGGTATCGGAACGTCAAAAGTTTCTATGTTACTGTATGCAGAAGACATCGTGCTTCTTGCGTATAACGATAATGATATGCAAAAAATGTTGGACAAGCTTCACGAATGGTGTATAAAATGGAGAGTGTTGATTAATACAGATAAATCCAAGGTGGTACACTTTCGTTCAGGACGTAGAAAACGATCCGCTGTTTAGTTTGAAGTAGGTGACAACATACTCACGTTTACGGACCAGTATAAGTATTTGGGAGTTATATTTACTGAGAGAAAAAAACATTTCATTTGAATGCTGAAAATTTGGTACATGGAGCTGGACGTGCACTT